CGTAAAAGAGAACTACTTGAAATTGCTCCTGATATTGTTGCTGCTTATGAACGAGGGTTAAAGTCTTAAAAATTTCTGCGGTGGAACTCGAAAACGGGCCGGCAGGAATGCAGTAACCCTGTTCAGAAGTAGTCTGGGTTCCAAAACTCAGCCCCAGGCAACGCAGACCAAAGTTGGTCTGCGCTGGGCTGTGTGACCATGACACGTCAGGCCTGAGTCTGCCGCGTTTGGCTGTGTGACCAAACGCTGCACCCAGGAAAGTCAAGGGTCAAAGTCAACTGTAGAGTCAAAGGTACCGCGCCCAGACCCTTGGTTGGATACACTAATTTATTGTGCGCAGGTACCCAGACAAGCATCCAGGTCGAAGGGAATTTAGTTTCAGGCCTATCTGGGCCTTCGTTTGCATCAAGATCTGGACGGCTAAAGGTTGCAGCATCCGGGGTCCAGACCCCGAGCGCTACTTAAGCGTTGACCTCCCTGGCTTTGATATTCATTCTGTCTTGCGTTGATGCGGACTTCACGCGTTGACTTCAACGCTGGCTCGACGCTGCAACGCTGGCATTGTGATTCGGCGAGGCGCTGCTGGTCCGGCATGGTGGCTGGCTTGCACCTGTCTTCTTGGCATGTTGACGTGGCAGCTGCCATGCGCTGTCGCTGATGTGGCTGCTGCCACATATATCATTAGCTGACGTGGCTGCTGCCACGTGTTCTGACGAAGCGAAGCTACGTGACTTGTATTGCTGTTCTGATTATCGTCATTCGGGAGGAGATCGGGATTGTGGAGAGATCATGGCTGGGCCTGCCCGCAATTGATAAATTGGATCGGCGGGCCCGTTCTCGTTTCGCGCCTCCAGAATTTGGGGTGTCTGACCCGCGGCCCAGGTGCCCATGTACTGGTGGCTTAAGGTGGGTGATCATCTCCTACAATATCACAAGGTAGGGAAGTCTGCGGACTGCAGAGGGTTACCGCCAGGGTTGTCGAGCCTCGGCCTCGGGGCCCCGGCGGGTGTGCGGGGGTCCTGGGGTGGGCACCCCCGACCCCGGCTCCGGCCCCCTCCCCCCCCAAAAAAAAAGAAATAATAAAAAAAAAAATTGTGAGGGGTGCGCATCGAGAGCCTGCACCTTGTGGGCTAAACCCCCAAAAATGGGGTTTTGTGCCCCACTCCGGACCCCCCCTGGGGCCACACCCACCACTGGTGGGACCGGGGTAGCTGCGGGTGCGGGGCCGGGGGCGGGGCCAACAGC